CCCCCTCCCCCAGACTTCACGTAGATTTGGCTCAAGTCCCCTCACCCCTTCTGGGCCCCACTCACATGCCAGGCGCCCCCTGGCAGGTTCCGGCCCAGGACCAGGTGGGGGATGGCTCGCTCCTTCTGGTGCTTCCAGGTGAGGACAGACTCCACGTTGCCCCCAAAGTCTGTGTCTGGGCACAGGAGGGCATCAAACAGCAGGGCCACAGGGCTTTGGCACCGGCCTTCAAGGCCTTCGGACAGGTAATCCAGGTCCTGGGTGGGGGGACACAAGTCAGAAGGCCCACTGGAGGAAGGCCACCTGGTCCTGCCTTTCCACCCTAGTACCAGGGTGTCAGATAAGCTTGGGAAATGCTGCCTCTCAAAAGGAGATAGTGCACATCAGCAAATTAAAGGCTCTGACAAGTCCTGCAGCTGTCACTTACCCGTTAATTTTGCCAAACCCAGTGTCTCTCAGATTTACTGGAGCAGGGACATTTTTCTCTGTATATTATACCGAGGGATGGCTGTCCTGTACAACAGTGGTCCCCAATATTTTTGGCACCAGGGACTGGTTTCGTGGAAGAGAATTTTTCCACAGACAAGGGTGGGGCGGAGGGGGATGGTTTAGGCGGTAATGTGAGCGACGGGGAGCGATGGGGAGAGGCAGATGAAGCTTCTGTTCGCTTGCCTGCCGCTCACCTCCTGCTGTGTGGCCCAGGTTGGGTGGGGGGGGGGGTCCCCCGCGGGGGGCAACCCCTGCTGTAGAAGGCAGTCTGGAAAATGCCTATCTAGACCCAATGCCAACTTACTTCCTCACCCACCAGCTTGACGCTGGGAGGGGCCCAGGAGGATGGATGCTGCCTGAAGTGGGAGGCAGACACTGAGTGGCCTCCTGGAAGGCAAGGGGCGTGGAGGGGAGGTTGGTGAGCCCTCCTGAGCAGGGGCTGGTGGAACTGCAATATCTAGGGCAGGGGTTCTCAGCTGGGGCACAACTGGCCTTGGGGCTGGATAATTCTTTGTGGTGGGGCCTGTCCTGTGCATCGTAGGATGTTTAACAGCATCCCTGGCCTCGACCCTCTACGCCTGTGGTGTCACCACTCTGGTCGTGACAACTGAAACTGTCTCCAGGTGGCCAAGTGTCCCCGGGGGTGGGGTGGGGGCGGAAATCATCCCTGGGTTTAGAAGCACTGGTCTAGGGGAGCTGAGACAAGCTGATGTGGGATTTGTAAGTCTTCAAAGACAGCTGTGCTTCCTCTTCCCAGTTTCTGTGGCTGGTTTCGTGGGCTCTCGCACGTTTGGTCTTACGTCTCGTAAATGCATCCTTTTCATTTGTGCCCGGGAGAGTTTCCCCGCAATGGGGGTGTCCCTCCCACCCGGAGCTCAAGCCCACCTGGTCCACGATGGAGACCCCCGGCGCCTCGGTGAGCTTCCTCTGCAGCAAGGGGTGTGGGTGGACGGCATCTGGCTTCACGTAGGGGTTGTAACCCGAGAGCAGGTAGGACAGGCAGATGCCCGAGGGACCATTGCCTGGGGAGAGAGGGCGGGGTCAGAGGGCAGTGCTTTTGAGCACAAGAGACCACCACGACCACCACCACCGAGGGCTTTGGTCTCCATCTGTCTCGTTCATTGATTTGCTCTTCAGGCATAAAAATAAAAACAGAACATTTATTAGCACTATACCACTTGAACAACAATGAAGTTGTGGAAATAACCGCTGACAGTTACCGAGTGCTTACCGTGTGTCAAGCGATTTTAATAACAACAAAATAATAAGAAACTGACTGCCGTGGCTGCTGTACCAGGCCCCTCCGTAGCCCCGAGCGCACTGAGCCAGACACATGCTACTTTTCCTCCTTTTTTACTTGAGGAAGCTGGGGCACAGAGAGGTTAACTGACTTGCCTGTGGTCACACAGCGGCATGACTGAGATCCTGAGATTACTGAGAACTGACAGTGGGGTGAGGTCGGTCAGAGGGATGTGTAAAATATTACAGCACAGATGGCTACGTGCTCTGGGGGTGAGCTCGGGGGCCAAGGGTGCTCAGCGTGGGCGCTAAGCCACCTGTGGGGCCGCCTGCCCCCAGGTCTGGATGAACCACACTGCTTATCAGAGGTACTTTTTGGGCAATTAACCTCATGACATCACTCCTATTCTTCTCTGTCTTTCCCCTGTCTTATGTTGTGCTGTTCTCAGTCTTAACTCACATGTCGACAGCTGTTCAGACAAACCCTATGAAATCACCGATGCGCAACTGTTTTTAACTTACAAAAATGGCCATTTCATGGGGTTCGACCTGGTGTTTGCCCGGAGGGAGGGGCCCTCTGTCCCCCATTTGTTCAGACCTGACGGCAGGACAACATGCTTCGGCTGCGTCCCCGTCACACAGGCACGCAGGCACCGGGAAAGTACAGGACGGGCACAGGCACAGAACCAGTCCCCCCACCCCCTGCCCCACCCTTACTGCGCAACCCCTGCAGAGCACCCTGCTCTTGCCTCGAGCGTTCTCGGGAGGGTTACTCAGATGATGTTTTATAAATTGCTGAGCACAGCACTGGGCACAGAGTGACGGCTCCAGGGCCTGCCCGCTCCTGACCTCTAACCCTTGGGGCTCAGTGCAGCCCCTCCCCCGCCCTGGGCGGCACTCACCGATGATGACGACCGGGAGGGGCTCTGAGCTGCGGGCACCAAGGTGGTCCTTCCATCCGTTGCTCATGGCTGGGGCTCTCGGGGGGGCTTGGGGCTGGCAGCAACCTGGGGGCACAGGGGAGGAGGGGCCCTCGGTGAGCCGGGGTGTCATGCACTTACTTCCCACCTGCAGGGTGACCTCCTGTGGCCCTCAGGATCAAGTCCAAGGTCCTCCCTGAGTCTTATCAGGATGACCCTCCCCTCTCATACCTGCTATACTCTAAACAGGTCCAATTATGCAGGGCTCTCTCCCCCAGCCTGGTCACCTCCTCTCTCTGAGCCTTACTCCACACTCCCCATCTCATCAGGGGCAGTAACTGTCCTCAAAGCTTATTCAGCTTCCATGAGGCCCCCCTCTGCCCAACTGTGGGCAAGCCCTGCCCAGCACTTCTGTGACGGCCACAGCCCTCACCCCACAATCCGGCCCTCGGGTCTTCAGTGGACTTGGCCCTGGAGAGGCACTTCTGAACTGGCGACCTCTCTGGGTCTCAGTTTCCTCATCTGTAAAATGGGAATAATAATCGTCTCTACCCCATAGGGTTGTTGGAGGCGGGGGGGGGGGGGGGGGGGGGGGGGCGGGGAGGACACAGGTACTGTACGTGAAGCAACTGCCTCGAGAAAACAGGCCACCGGGAAGAGACCGGAGCTCACTGTCTCCTCCAGAGGCTGGGCTAGAACAGGTGGACATGCAGAAACCACGGACGCCTGAGCCCCTTGGTTTGGGGAGAAAAGCGTGCAAACCTGCTTGTCTCTGGAGCACCAGCGCCCCCTGCTGGCCACAAGCCCAAATCACTCAGAGAGTCCCAAACACCGTTCTTAGGGCTGCAGGTGCCTGAGGAGAGTCCAGACCCACCTTCTCCACATTCCCCTAGACGAGCTAACGGGGGCCCTGGCATCACCCACTGTCCAGCAGCCCTGCTGTCCTGACCACCACAGGGCAACATGCACACGAGCATGTGAGGAGCAGGCAGGCACTTAGCACTTTCTATGTCCCAGGTATTTGACATGTTTTTTCTCATGTCCTCCTCATACTGACCCTATGCAGAAAGCACTGTCGGTGCTATTATCCCACTTACAGATGGGTAAACTGGGGCTCGGAGAAGTCGCACAAGTTGCTCAGTATCACGCAGCCGACTTTTAAATTCAGGGCTGATGGTGCCGAGGCTTTGCCTGAATGCACCGTGCACGCTGCTTGGCCTGTCCCCAGGGAGACATGGGGCTGGTAGCAAGTAAAAGGGTGAATGGGGGGCACAGGGCCCAGACCACCCAGAGCAGCCAGGGATGGGTGCCCGGCATTGCTGGCCTTCAGGATTCTTCCAGAAAAGGCTGACATCTGGGTTTTTAATGTGAATTCTCTGATTTGGAAAAGTGGGCAACTAACTCACAATTTTTGAAAATCTTGAACAGGCTGGTGAAACACAAGCGAGGCCAGCGTACGACCTCTGATGTGCGCAGAGTGACAGCAACACCAGCGTCCACCGCTGGGCAGGTAGGTCCCGAGCAGAGGGACGAGGGACAGCCGCCCAGACAGGCTGGTGGGAGGACCTGGGTGTCACTCCCACAGCAACAACAATGGACCTTCGCACAGCACTTTGCAGTTTGCGAGGAGAGGAGCTTCCACCTGAGCCGTAGCATCTGGGACCCTCGGGCACCCTGAGAGGTGGGCGGCGTCACCGCCATCTGGGAGGTGAGGAAAGGGAAGCTCAGAGGGTGAAGGGCGTCTCCAGTGTCACACAGGGGGATGTGACATTTAAGGACTCCCTCCCCAGTGCCCTCAGGTCCCCTGAGAATGGCCTTCCTCACCTCAGCTGGGGCCTGGGCTGGGACAGCCTCCTCATCCCGTCTTGGTGAGCCCCGTGTTCCCCATCAGGGACCACGTGGCTCTCTCCACGCCTGGTTCCCTGCCGGGGCCCAGGCTGTCTGCCTGGGAAGAGGATTCTGGGGTGACACCACTGCCACTGCCAACAACGATACAGAATGACCAACGTTTCCATACTTCCATGGAGTTAGCCAGGTGACAGGCGCGCTCGAAACACTTGTGCGCCTTAACTAACTTAATCCGTATTTAACTGCGTTGTTATAAGGACTCTCGCAATCACTCTCGTGTTACAGACGGGGAAACTGAGGCCCAGCGAGCTTCTCACAGCCCTGTATGGTTTGCGAGGAGTTTGCCCCAGCTCGCGCAGGCCGAGCTGGGTTTGAGCCCGGGATGGCCTGTTCCAGAGTCTTCTCTGTGCCCCCCGAGCTGGAGTGACAGTGTGACAGTGTGTGACAGAGGCCCCTCCTACCCGGGTGAGTGTAGCACACGTATCCATCCCTGCCCACCCTGCTGCTCTGTCCCAGCGCTGGTGTCGGGGGAGGGAGGCCAGGTGGCCAATGCTCGCAGCTGGGAGAGCACAGTTTCTCACTAACCACTGGCCGCTGGGTGTGCCTGGTGGCCCTGGGGAGGAGGGCTGTGCTTCCCAGAACTCTTCCTCCTGGTTCCTTCAAACAGCCCCAGGGCCCTGCACTGCATGTCCTCACTGTCCCCAGGAATAGCAGCAACGGGACGCAGGTGATGTCCTTGCAAGATGCTCCTTCTGCATCAGCTCCTTTAATCCTCATGGAGCCCACTTTACAGACCGGAAAACTGAGGCTCAGGGAGGTGAGGCCATGCCCCCCTGGTCACAGAGCCAGTGGGTCATGAAACTAGTTTGTTCACTGAGGGCTCAGACCACCTAGACACCCCATAGCCCCCCACAATGGGTGTCAACCTGTTCCCCGCGCCCATGGAGTGCCCACCCCGGGCCAAGTCCTTTACCTGAAGCTTCAGTAAAGGACTGAGGATCCCAGTCCCTTTGAATCCTCCCAGCGCCAGTAAGGAGGGTACTTGCAGAAGCCCCCGTTTACAGATGAGGAATCAGAACTGACTGCCCCCTTTTCACGCTTCCCGGAGGCAAAGGGGCCCCATTTACCACCAGAGCTTTTGGACTCCAAGTCCAGTGCTCGCTGCCAGAACTTCTGGATGCCACACACATGAGGTCACCACCCAGAGGCTGACCTGAGAGGTTACTTCCTGTGCAGCGATACAGCCTCAAGTCCCGAGACAAAGCTCTCAAAACCTCGGAAGAACGCATGCTGCCAACTTTCATTTGCAAGTTTAACTTCCCATTTCTGCTATGCTTTTTAGTTTTGTGGAGTTGGAACGGTCAGTTTTTAATGCGAACGTTCTGTTGGAGTTCCTCTGGTTGGAGATGGCAAATGTCCACCGAAAAAAGTTAACATTGAAAACTCATTCAAGTTCACAAGAGAAAAGAAGCCTAAAAGAACTGGGAATAACTGCACCTTCCGAGGTGCAATTATTCTCTCTTTCTTTCTTTGGAGTTTGCAGCATTGGAACTTCTAGGGTTATCAAAGCTTGAAACCGCTCTAAGACTCGGGGCACCTGTATGGCTACATTTACTGAGTACCTGTGGTGGCTTTTTGCTCATTTCACTTTAATGACAACCCCCCACCCCCCCTGCCCCGTGGGTTTTCTTATCCCCGTTGCCCAGAGGGAAAAACTGGCGTCAGGAGGGAGCAGGTGTCTTTCCCAGGACTGTTGGAGACCACGCCCCTGAGCCCAAATCCTGCCCCTTGATACCTGTCAGAGGCGGGGTGAGTGCCCTCTGAGGAAAACAGCATGACAACAGTGCCACCAAGAAAGTGGCGGCGGGGGGGGGGGGCGCTGAGGACGCGCTGCCAGTCCCCAGGGTGACGCCTCAACCCCAGCGTGCGCCCCGTGGCACCGCCTCCCCCCGGAGCCTCCCCCATCTGGAGCCCCAAGAGCTCCGAGGCTCCCCAGACCCTCTGGGGACGCTCATTCTGGGCACCCCAACCCTCCTGGGAGAAGCCAGGTCCCCGGGACCCTGCGGCGGGAGCCGAGGGCAGGTGCCTGGGACCTCTGTCCCCTGCAAGCAGGAGAGGCGGGGTCCCGGAGGGCAGCACCCAGCCTGCCTCTGTGACCCAGTGGCCTCGGGGCGCCGGGCAGCCTGCCCGGGCTGGCCACACCTCTCTTTCCTGCCCAGAGCAGCATCACACGGGCTGGGGTGTACTCCAAGCGGGCAGGGCAGCTGTCAGCTGAGGGTGCCAGGCACCTGGAGATGGGCATGGCCAGGAGGAGCGAGGGAGGACCCTGGGGTGGGGGCGATCATGCTGGTCCGGGGAGCCTGTGTGGCTCCAGGGCCCCGTGGCCACCCCTGCCTGGGAGGGACTAGCTTCTCCCAGCTCCCCCGCATGCCTCGCCTGGGCCACTCACCTGACGCGCAGGGGTCGAGGACACTCGTGAGCCTGGCCTCGTCAGGCACTAGGAGAACCAGGGCTCACGGTGCCGGCCGAGGGTGCAGGACACCCATTACCCCGTGGGGATCCAAGAGGCTATGAGTGGCCGGGAAGCGAGGGTATTTCACGAGTTGGGAGGAGGCGGGCGGTGGGCGGGGCCAGGAAATCACTTTCATAAGCGTGAGTCAGCAGGGGCCCCTGCATGAATGAATTTGCGCACTTGAGGGAGGGCGGTCACGTTGCCAGCTCCGGGGGTGGTGGGGGGACGGCCTTAAAGGGCCCCTACCCGGGGCGGGGTGGGGGTGGTGGTGTCCCTGGTGGGGTGGGGCCCGGTGGTGACCAGGCTGAGCCAACCTGGCCTTTCCCGTTAGGGAGGCGGAGACAGTCCTGCCCAACGTACAGTCAAGGCGGCCCCTTTAAGTGGAGAAAGAAGTCCTGGTGCCCTCATTCCATCTGGTTCTACGTGATGTCTTCCCGCTCCTCCCCTCCCTCTCCCTCCCCACAATAAAAGCCCTCTGGCACCAGCCGGAGCAGGCTGGGAGCCCAGCTGTCACTTCCTGGGCAGGCTGCTTCAGTTTCCTCATCTGAGAATGGGGCTGAGTAATAACTCTCCCTCCTGGGTGGTCGTGGCGTTTCAGGGATGTCATTCTTGGTGACCGTGCCTAAAACATGGTTCATGTCTTCTTTTCTTCGTTATTTTTTCTCTTTAGCCTGTAGCACGGCGCGCCTCACATTTTGCCGATTCTCACGCATTTTATTATTTTATCATCTCTCTGCCCAAACCGGGATGTGGGTTCTGAGTGGCAGGGAAGTGTATCGGTCTGCTCTATCCTGAGCGCTCAGCACATCGTAGGTGATCCAGAAGGAAGGACGGGAGGGCTCGAGAACAGTGCTTGGCCCAGAGACCCCAGTGCATGTTAGATGTCATTTCATTACGGATGTGATTGTCACCCCCATCGTCCGCACTGGCCTGGGGACTTCCCTGCCAGCCCTGCCCCACCCTGTGGGCGGCCCCACTAGGGCTGGGACCAGGGTTAAGCAAGGAGGCACTCACCTTGCGTACCAAATTTAAGGGGATGGCAAAAACACTCAGTGATCAAGTATTTTGATGCAATTGAAAAAAATAAAAATTAATGCCAAAAATCCAAGATAAACAAAAATGTTAAAATTTCAAACAAAGATCTGTAACCATGCCATGCCAAGCTGTACTGGAGCCTGATGCAAAAAGAAAAATCAGGATACCCATGCTGCCTGTATTTAAAACTTTGATATTTTGTTCATCCTGGATTTGAGGCGTTACTTTTGATTTTCAAAACTACTGCATGGGGCTTCGCTGGTGGCGCAGTGGTTGAGAGTCCACCTGCTGATGCAGGGGACACGGGTTCGTGCCCTGGTCCGGGAGGATCCCACGTGCCGCGGAGCGGCTGAGCCCGTGAGCCATGGCCGCTGAGCCTGCGCGTCCGGAGCCTGTGCTCCGCAACAGGAGAAGCCACAACAGTGAGAGGCCCGCAAAAAAAAAAAAAAAAAAAAATACTGCATGAACACACTATGTGCCTTGATTATGGAGTGCTTTGCTGCCCCTTGCATTTTGTGCTCGAGGTGATACCTCTCTCCTAGTCCTGGCCCTGGTGGCCACAGGGTACAAGGGCCCTGCCGTGGAATATGCACAGGATGGAATATGCACAGAGGGGAGGCGGGGCACCAGGAGGGGGGGGGACCGGGTCTGACCGCTGGGCTCCTTTGGGGACAGGGGACAGGGCCCGGGTGAAGGATGGCTCTGAAGATACAGAGTGCTGCTGGGACTGGAAGAGAAGGGGGAGAAAGGAGAGAGAGGTTGAGGGGGGAGGAGAGGGAGAGAGGGGTGCCCCATAGGAAGGGGCTGGTGACAAGCGTTTGGGGGGCAGTGAGAGGAGCTGGGATGAGACGAGAGACCCCGGGGGACCGGGCCCCCAAATCACGTGACTGGTCCAGGCAGGGCTGCATCCGGTGCATGGTGGGGTGGGTGACGCCTGGTTTCTGGGCTCAGCTCTAGGGGCAGGATGAGCTTGGGTGAGGCACTGCGCCCTCGGGGCCTCCGTTTACCCAGGAGAAATGGCACTCATAGTCCTTTCCTCCTGGGGTTCTCGGCAGCAGGGACCCTTGGTGTCATGTGACACAGTGTGACATACATGCAGGTGGCGGCAGGAAGTCCATCGCTCCAGGCCTCAGCTCCCTGGCTGGCTTCTAGCTCTGCTGCACATGTGCTGTGTGACCTTGGGCCGGTGGCCCACCTCTCTGGGCCCCTGTTCCAGCGGGGCTTTGTTAGCAAAACTCCCTGACACCCTGGTGTTCACCACACACACACCAGGACCTAGTCTGGGGCTTGCACACACCAGGAGCCGTGACGGCCGAGGAGCAGAGCTGACCCTGGTTGTCCCTCTGGCCCAGGCTGCAACTTTCCCCAGCAGCCCTGCCTGCTGTCTCCACTTCTCCATCCCAGGGCTCTGGCCTGCAGCCTCCCGGTGGTTTTGGTGGGTGTGTAAACAGAGGCAGACAGACACACTCCAGGGTCAGAGCCTCCCACCCGGAGCGTGGTGGGGCAGGGCGAGGCTGAGGCTCAGGGTCCGGAGGGAGAGCCTGGGAAGGAAGTGGGCTCCGGGCACCCCCATCTCTGGGTCTGGTCGATCTTTCCTCCCAACCTGCCCCGCTGCCCCCACTGGCCCTGACCCCTTTTCCGGATTTTGAAAGTTTGCTGATATGGGAGAATTGTGGGCGGGACATGGACTTTCTTCCCTGTCGCCTGTTTACCTGACAGCAGATGATCAGAAATAAAATGTGTTGAGTTGCTTCTAGAAAGCTCGACTAAGACAAAGACTGATAATGTCACAGGCAGACAAAGGGGCAAAGGTTAGAGGAGCCGCAGAGAAAGAGCAAAGAAGGGTCTTTGCAGGTTCACTCTTGGGGGACTGGCTCTTTTGGACTCCACTGGGTGCCCCGATTCCTTTAGACCTGCCCCGACCCCTTCTTGGCCATGACTTAGAATATTAAGCGCCAGAAGTGTGAGCTTCCTCATTCTGATGTGCTGAAAGTAGGGCTCAGATGCAGCAAATAAAAATATGGGCACCCAGGGCTTCCCTGGTGGCGCAGTGGTTGAGAGTCCGCCTGCCGATGCAGGGGATGCGGGTTCGTGCCCCGGTCCGGGAGGATCCCACATGCCGCAGAGCGGCTGGACCCGTGAGCCATGGCCGCTGAGCCTGAGCGTCTGGAGCCTGTGCTCCGCAATGGGAGAGGCCGCAACAGTGAGAGACCCGCGTACCGCAAAAAAAAATTAAAAAAAAAAAATATGGGCACCCAGGTAACTTCCGGAATTTCAGATAGACAAGAAATAAACTTTGAGTATGTCCCAAGCAATATTTGGGATACACTTATGCTAAAAAATTTTTTTTCATTGCTTATCTGAAATTCAAAGCTACCTGGGCAGCCTGCACTTCATCTGGCAAATCTAGCCATAAGTGTAAAATATACGCTAGATTTCAAACGGTTAGCAAAAACAGAAAGCAACTAAAAAAGAAAAGGCAAAATGGCTCAATAATTTTTATATGGATTCCAGGTTGAGATGAAAATCGTGAAAATATTTTGGACATCTTGGGTTAAGTGACATAGATTATTAAAATTAGCATCACCCGCCTCTTTGTTTAACGAGGCTTTTGGAAAACTCACAGTTACACACACGACTCTCATTTGGCTTGTGCGGGACGCTTGCACCAGCGGCTCGTGCAAACGGGGACGTTCTGGGACATTCCCGGGTTTAGCACCAAAAGCCCCGCCACGTCCCAGGAGCCCCTCAGTTCCAGGTGAACCAGGATGGCTGGTCACCCTGGGCCATTGCAAGCAGCTGGGTACCTCGCTTCTGAGCCTCACTTTCCCCCTCTGTGCCCTGTAGCACCAGCACGGGGCTGGCAAGGTGGTAACAACCACTGGTCCGTGCAGCTGAGGGCAGGGGCCTGGCTCACGGGAGGAGCCCACACAGCAGCCTGTGCTTGGTGTGCAGCCCCCTGCCCCCCAGGCTCCCCCCAACCTCCCCTGCAGGTGCTGGGGAGCTGGGGAACCAGGGGAAGCGAGGGGAGGGGTAGCCTCAGGGTGCTTCCCCGGGGATCCTGAAACAGCCCTCACACCAAGCCCACCGTTCCTCCCTCCCTAAGAAACCCCAGGACGGGGACTTCCCTGGGGGCGCAGTGGTTAAGAATCTACCTGCCAATGCAGGGGACATGGGTTTGAGCCCTGGTCCGGGAAGATCCCACATGCTGTGGAGCAACTAAGCCTGTGCGCCACAACTACTGAGCCTGCGCTCTAGAGCTCACGAGCCACAACTACTGAAGCCCGTGCGCCTACAGCCCATGCTCCACAGCAAAGACAAGCCACTGCAATAAGAAGCCCGCGCACCGCAATGAAGAGTGGCCCCTGCTCACCGCAAGGAGACAAAGCCCACGCGCAGCAACGATGACCCAACACAGCCATAAATAAATAAATAAGAACAAAAATAAAAAATAAAAGAAATCCTAGGATGGTGCGAAGGGGCTGTTCTTGGCCTCTCCTCATCCCTCTCCTTTGGGGCAGCTCCCATGGCTCTGCCACTTGCTGGGCACTTCCAGGCACCGAGCACCGTGGACACAAGGTTCTTTATACATAGCTGAGGCTCAGAGAGGCCGCCAATATTGAGCCTGAGGTCACACAGCGTAGGTGGCAGAATTGGGGCTTGAACCCAGCGCTGCAACTGCAGAGCCTGGGCGCCTGCAAGAAAAAGGCTGACTACGAAGGAACTAAGGAAGGAAGACAGCCTGCTTCCTGTCTCAGACACAAAGACACAGACCCCTGAACTCTCCCGGAGGGCCCCCTATCTCCACGGCCGCCCCCTCTGTGAGGTGTGCACACTGTAAGGTGTTTGGGGGATTGATACATTTGATCTGTTAACCAGTCCAGCGAGGAAGGCTCGGTGCTGTTATCCTCCCATTCCTCCCATGAGGAAACGGAGGCCCCGAGAATGGGAGACGTAGCCCTGTGTCACGGCAGGCGGCAGAGCTGGGCCCAGCGCCCTGGCATGACTAGGCCAGGCCCGGCCAGCGCATGACCGGAGAGCTAATATTTGCCCTTGCCGGTTGCAGAGTCTTGTCATCTACCGCATCCCATCGATTCCCCCGATGACCCACAGAGGTGGGCAAATATTTTCAATGACAAGTTTCGTTTACAGATGAAGAAACCCGGAGGGACTTGCCCAAGGCCAGGGGCAATGAAGTGGGGAGAGGGGATTCAGAGTTGGGTCTGTCTGGTGGCAGAGCCTGTGCCTGCTGCCCCAGGACATTGGTGTGAGCTGCCAGGACGCAGGGCAGGTTCACGCCCTGGATAGTCACCATAGATCCCCTGGGGGAGACGGTGTCAAAGGTGGGGAAGCCCACATCCTGCCCCCACATGGAGAGAACCAAGGAGGGCCCCGGGAAGGAATGTCTGCGCAGGGTTGAGGCTGGGGGTCTTCAGCCACATTCCCTGCTTCCTGATTGCCCCCTCAAAAACCAGGAGGAAAGTTTTGGCAGGAGAATGAATGTGTCTGGCCAACAGTCAGGGTGGACAGGGGTCCAGCCCAGGGTATAAAAGGCTTCCACTTTGGAGTCAGACCAACCAGGATTCTGGCTCCATCACTTTCAGCTGTGTGATTTTGGGCAAGTGACTTAACCTCTCTGAGCTTCCGTTTCCTTATCTGTGAGCTGCAGATGGCACAGCAGTGCTTCTCATCCCTGCTGCACGTCAGAATCACTTGGTGGAGGGGGTTTAAAGATACACTAACACCCAGGCCCCAGGCCCAGAGATTCTGACATCATGGGGCTGGGATGCGGCCAGACACGGGAAGTACCACTGGTGATTTCCATGTGCGGCAGGGCTGGTAGCCTCTGTCCCTGCAGCTGTTGGGGGATGAGCTGAGATACAGCCGAGGAACTGCCTGGCCCGTGGAGATGCCCAATACATTGGACTCCCTTCCATCCTGGCGGTCCATCTTTTTGTAAACCACAGTCTTTATGCTGTTGCAGGAATAGCCATGAGGTCTAAAAGAGAAACATGTCCTTGGAAGAGGCAGGCTACCAGGATGGCAGGGGCCAGCTGGTGACCCTGGTGGGGCCTCGACCAACGGGACAGACCTCGATGTCACCTTGCTCATTTACCGAGATTTGGTTTCCTCAGCTTTGACTTTTGAACTTGATGGAGGACTCGACGTTGACCCCCACGGCTTCTCATCTCATTCCCTCTATGCACACCCAGCCCCTGAGCCTAAATTCCAATCCTAAGGGAAAACCTGGAAGCAGAGACAAACCCCGG